AAGATAAAAGAAAATTACCTTGCAACTATTAAAAGCAATCACACCAAATAGAAAAGCAAAATAAATGAAACTGTATTCCTCTTCTTGGAAAATATGTATGTGACTCTTTATCTGAAATTATTTAAATTTAGTCCAACTAGAGCACTTGCCCTGATACCTGTAGGAGTTCCAACTGCAGTCGGAATAATGATGATGCTATGCACAGGAGGGAAAAGAGGAGAAAGATGGGCTTGGATGTATTTGCGTGTGGGTGTTCATCGTGTCAATCCGCCACACCCACACACAATCAGACACTAGTCAGACACCCTTGGAAATGGAAAGGGTGATTGTAGACAGCAGCCCACGCCTGCTCAGGTGCCTGAAATAGACAGGATCTGTGTAGGAAATGACAATCCGAATCTGATTCCCTATGCTGTAGGTTGCCACACACAGACTTCCCCCTCACACTGTTCCTTAACCCATGGGAATCTAGTCCCTTGGTTACTGGTATAACCATGAAGAATGGAGTGGAGGGAATCACACTTTAGAGGACTGTACTTTTAACCCTTTGGTAGAATATAATGTCTTCTGGACATGATACTTTTTTAAAAGTATGAATCAGCTGGGATTAGCAAGTGGCACAGTAGTTAAGGCGCTGGACTCCTACATGGCCAACCATGGTTTGAGTCCTGGACTTGGAGGCTTGAAACTCTCACCAGGCATGTGTACATGCATGCCCAAAGTCCCAAGAGGAGAATGGAGGAGAAGGGATTGTGGTATGGTCATTCCCCCAAGGGGGTAATGCTCACATTCTCTCTCTATGTCTCTCTGTCTCTCGAGCGAGCAGATGCACCCTATAGCAAAAAAAAGTACAAATCAGCTAATAAAAAAGTTTAGTTAACATTCATCACAACCCTGCGAAGTAATGTTTACTGTTCTCTCTATTTGATATCATGTTTATTGCTTATCAAATTGAAATTGTATTAGACTGGACATAGCAACAGTTATCTAATTGGGGCAATACTCTTTTATTGAAGGCATTCGTCTTTGAATAACTTCCTAGGGCTTCCACTCCTCAAACCCTGATACAACAGTGGCCTGCAGCAGGGTGCAGCCCTGGACGTCACAACACTCAAGAGACGTGGACAGATCAGGTCATGCTCCAAGATTCAGGCCCGTCTGAAGGTCAGTGAGTTGTCTCTGGCATTGTAAAATATCAGGGACCAGCATGGCTTCTGGAGCCACGTGGCTGGGTCTGAATATCAATTCTGCCACTTACTGTCTGTGTGGCTTTAGGCAAATCTCTTAGCTTCTATTCCTTCGTTTCATCATCTGTGAAAAGCGGAATAGTATTAGTATCAACTTGTAGGACTGTCATTGACAATTGTACGAGGTAATGTTCGTAAACCAGTTACGCAGTGCCTGATACACAGTAGGTACCATGTGGGTGCTGGCTGAAGAAAATAAAGGATACAAAGACTAGAAGGATTACTGTAAGGTGAAAGGAAGCACCAAGGGGGCTCTACTGGGCAAATCAGACGAGGCGGCCACTGGGCAGCTGGACCTGAAATGCTGGATCTTTAGTCAATACAATCGATGGAGACTGGTAAGTGTACACTTTCACCACAATATGGGTTTTACCTCCTGTTTGCCATTCTTTGCTGCTTCTCATTCGCTCACACAGCTCTTTTACCCCCTACTCAGTGATGATGGGAAGCCATCCACAGAACATGAAAAAAACGATGGTTCAGAAAACCAAATTCATCTTTAAACAGAGATTTCAAAGGGAAAAGATGGCCTCAGCTCTCTGATATATTTCACCAGCTCTCTGAACATTATCAAGAAAGAGTTTCACAATTTAAAAAGGTCATTTTCTGTTTCTATTTAGGAAGGATTTCCTGCCATGTTTAAAAAACCACTTTAAAAAAAAAAAAAAAAAGTCACACCAGCACAGTTTAAACAATTCTTGAAGAAATACCAACAATAACCAAGTGTTTTCTAATTATGTTTCAGTGAATTTCAGGAACTTGCTGAAAATTCCCATTGCTCTTGTATTTATGTGCTTGCCTTGTTTGGGTATTTTGGATGTGTGTATCCATATATAAGAGCTGTCTTTTTTACAGACGCCCACATGCCCTATAAATGTTATTTGAGTACTTATTTAAATAGACAAGTACTTGTTAAAAATAAAAATGTTTTGAACAAAGCAGTTGCATAGAAGTGAGATTTCACCCATTAGAAGCAATGGAGAAAATATGATTTGGCCCAATAATATGAGTAATGATTATTAAATCTCATATTAAAAATGCAATGAATTTCCATTGATTATATTTCTAAGTTTATCATTTTCATTGCCTTTCGAATGGGCATTACATATGTATCATGTAAAAACAGAAAATATAGATAAAGAGAAAAGTTTTGTTTTTTTTTTTTTTTTGAGAGGTTTTTGCTATAAGGCGCATGCGCTCGCTAGAAAGACAGAGAGGGACAGAGAGACAGAAAGCGAGAATTCACTCCCCAGGGGGGATGGTCACGCCGCAATCCCTTCTCCTCTATTCTCCTCTCAGGATCTTGGACATGCTCGCACACATGCCCGGTGTGAGTTTTAAGCCACCGCGTCTGGGACACGAACCGCGGTCGACTATGTGGGAGTCCAGTGACATAGCCATTACACCAACTGCTGGTCCCAAGAGAAAAGTTTTAATAAGCATTATAATCACCATTTTGGTAGATAGTCTCATCTCTCTTCTTCATTTAATCTCAGTGGGAAACATGATCTCAAATCGCATGGCCAGAGAGCACTGGAAGCCTTTAAAAATATCCCACTTCTCCTTCTGAAACCAAACAATGAGGAACAAAAATAGAGAAAAAAAAGAGTCAAAAGACCTGCATCTGACCCTGCCTTATTAGATGGCTTGTGTGACCTTGAATATCACCATGGGGCTCGGTTTCCTTGTACATCCAAAAAGATAGCTGGGCTAAAAGATTGCAGGGAATCTGAAGAAATCTGTCATTCCTATTGTAGGCCTTATGAACTAGATCTTCTGTTAGAGTTGTCATCATACCCTGGGACTTATAAAATCTTCTTTTTCCTAACTAGACTGACAAATTCTTCTAACAGTTTTTGTTTGTTTGTTTGTTTGTTTGTTTTTTGAGAGGTTTTTGCTATAGGGCACATGCGCTCGCAAGAAAGAGAGAGACAGAGAGACAGAAAGCAAGAAATCACCCCCTGGGGGAATGGCCATGCTGCAATCACTTCTCCTCCATTCTTCTCTTGGGATCTTGGGCACGCACACACACGTGCCCGGCATGAGTTTAAGCTACCGGGTCCGGGACTTGAATTGCAGTTGACTACATGGGAGTCCAGCAATGTAGCCATTACGCCATCTTCAGGTCCCTGTTTTATTTATTTATTTATTGAGAAGCTTCTAACTGTTTTTGATAATGTATTTTTTGAAGCATAATACATTATTTCCAAATAATGGGGTGACTACTCCCACCACAAGTCAGCCTGCAGGATACCTGGGTCAATTGTATCTCTCATGCTTGGGGTGGGATAGTAAGATCTGTGAAGGACAGAAACTCTACTAGGAATCTGGGATTGTGTTTTGCTTTGTAGTCATCCTACCAAGATAGTTATGATGTATCTGTAGGTCATATAAATTTGCATTCTAAGTACCCAGTCATATAGGCTAAGATGCACTATTAGATGCATTTTCTTTTCTTCCAATAGCCAAAATTCTATTTCCTTGTAACTGCTTTGGTCAAAATATTCTTATTTTTCACAAGTATAAGGCTTCTACTTTAACAGGAAGATCTAGAATCACTATTATAAATTGCAATGAATTTCTGTAAAGCAGAAGTATCTTATCTCATTCTTAGGTAGAAAACTCACTTTTAAGGGCTTTATTCCAGGTCCCCACAGATAGGCAAGATCCACAGAAACCAAGGAAAATCTCTCATCCACCTCCTAATGCCCCAGGGAAAGAAAGAAGTAGAGCTTCCTTGCCAGTCACTCAGAGTTTAGAATACATGGTTGTTGTTTTTAATAATTAATTTATTTATTTTTGAGGGAGATTTTCACTTTAGGGCACATGTGCTCACCAGAAAGACAGAGAGACAGAAAGCGAGAAATCACCCCCCAGGGAGGATGGCCACACCGCAATCCCTTCTCCTCTATTCTCCTCTTGGGATCTTGGGCATGCTTGCACATGCGCCTGGCCTGAGTTTCAAGCCACCGGGTCCAAGACTTGAAACAGTTGACTATGTGAGAGTCCGGCTCCTAAACCACTTGTACCACCTGCTGGTCGTTAGTATTATTTTATAATCTGCTGTAAGGCACGTGTACTCACCAGAGACAGAGAGAGAGAAAGTGAGAAAGCAAGTTGCCAGGTCCAGGGACTTGAACTGTGGTCAATAATGTGGGAAGCCAGCACCTTAACCACCACCACCTGCTAGCCCGTAGAATATATCAATTTAGAACTTATTAACTGAGGCTGGCTCTGTGGTACAACAGTATTGTGCTGCTCAGGAGATGCTGGATCCCACATGGTGAGATATGGGCACCCTCCACGGGGTCTATCCACTGTAGTCCCCACCCTCTGGTCCTCCAGCTCTCCAGCGCCCCCAGTCCTCTAGCCAATTGGATCTTGGGCACTCGAGCTCATGCATAGAATGTTTCAGGCTGACTGGGAGGGGATTCTAACCACAGTCACCCTGTGAGATCTTGGTTCTCTCAGTGGAGCTGACCCTGAGATGGGCATTTCTGATGTCAAGTTTTGTCATTCTTTTCTTTCACTTACCATCAAAATGGACAGTGTGACGTCTAGCTCTGTCTTTTTTAAATAAGCCTTAGCAAAGGCTTCACCAAGCATCCCATTTCTCAGTGGAAAATGCTCTAGATAGCCCTACTCTTTGCTCCAGCTAACGTAATTTCTCAAAAAGAAATGCAGTGGGTGAGGCAGCCTGGGCTGCCTTTGAACTACACGGTATTCACATCGGCAGGAGACCAGAGTACTTACTGCTGGAGCACGAGGCTTCTTTAGGGCTGGATGACATCGGCTGTGCACAGAGTTGACAAAGGCAGTCTCTCCCATTGAACGTGACTCGGTCTCCGGGTGGAAACGGGCGTCTGGAGCAGAGAGAAATAGCCCTCAAAGTTATTCCAGTAATTTCATTCCTTTCCCTTACTCTTTCTGTTTGCTGCCCTCTGGTACAAATTTATTTCTTGAAGGTACACCAGGCAAAATGTCTGAAATGGAGTCACATAATCGAACCAGCCAGTAGAATACAGTCCAAACAAAGAAATGTACCTCATTCTGAGAAGAACAAAGAATGCCTTGCTTCTATGGGGAACCAGATAGTACATGGAATGATTTACCTCCACTAATTAGCCGAGGGATGTCCCAACAAGTCACTAGCAAGGTACACAGAACAGTAAATTTCCAAATGGAAAATCTTTCATGAAGAAACATTTCGCATGCCATGAATTCCAACTGAAGCTTAAGGACTCTCCCCAAGAGGACTGGTTATAGGTCAAGCGTTAACTCTTTCAGCCCCGTAAGATCTTGCCTGGAGCTCTGTGAAAATGATGCTGACTTTGTATTTGCTTCTCTCAGAACTTTCCCCCTCCCATTAGACATTTATCAATAGCAGCGCATTTTGTAAAAATATTGCCTCTCGCATATGCTATCAGTTTCTTAACCTCCTAGTTTAGCAGGCCGATAGTCTTAAGGAAAAAGCGATGAACTGATAGACATAGGACCGTTTCCATGCTTGCTCTTTGAAATGGGCTGATTGGTCCATAAACCTTACCAACATGAGTTTTCAAATGTGTGATGCTGCCAAAGAGGAAATGTAAAACTCCCAAGCCAAAATCACCACAGATGAGTCAGAAGCAATTACTTAAGAACAAATTCGAGCTTCTTACAGCTTCAATCTCCCTGGAAGTCACCCCCACCCCCACCCCCAGTTGCCTAACGGTTGTAAGTGGACTAGACGTACACGGGTAAGTTTGGACTTCACTACTGTGCTGGTGCCGGTCATCAAGAAGGGTTAAATTTATACCACCAGGTTTTAAAAGGCCTTTCTGCTCATGGTCCTATTACTTTCCACTTTACAGAGAGGGTCCCTGAGAGGTTCAGTGACTTGCCTAGACAGATCAGCCAGGGACACCAGGCCATAGGCAGGTGCAGACGACACCCACCAACTTACAACTTGTTCTATCTTTAATAATCCAAATCACACTCTGGTGGATGCTTCACACTCATTAATTAATCCTGAACAAACCCTAAATCTGTTCTGAAAAGAAAATGTCAGGGAGCTAAGGGCCCATCAACACAACCAGCACAGGTTTTTCTGCCTCTGATCAGAGCCAGGACTGAGGTGAGGCAGCCACAGGTCAGTGGGTTCAGACCCTGCATTTGCACGGCCTGGAGGATGAGTGCCCCTTGACACTTTGCATCCAAGGCACACTGCTCCAAGCCCTGCTTCCGATCCATGCTTATTTTTTAAAGACCTGAATCTCACATGGATCTTCTATGGGACAGACAGAATTCCATGCTCAACCTGGGCCAGGCCTTCTGAACTTGAGTTTCATTATTTGTAAATGAGCCTCTTAGCCCTCTCCTTCCTCCTGTGTGCCCTGTCTACATGAGTTCACTTTCTTCTGTCATTTGCATGAATGATTATACTCTATAGTCTGTAACTGGATTTAGAGTCAGAAAACCTGAGTTCAAATCCTAACTCTCCAAGGTTAACTTGGAAATATTTCTTAAACTGAGACTCAGAGTCACTCATAAGCAGGGATAGCGGTTCATGGATGATGTCACAGACTTGCTAAGAGGGTTAAATTCTACCTGAACATATCTGTAAATGGTAAAGGAAGCCCCGATTGCAGGAAGAATTACCATCCTGGAGTAGCAACAGCTATAGCACTCCGGTAGCAAAAGTGAACACCTCACTGCTGGCTCAAATGCCCAGGGACTCAGCTGTAGTGAGTCAAGTTTTGTTCTCCCTTATTCTAGTTTTAAAACTATTGGGACCAGTAGATGGCAGAATGGTTACATCGCTGGACTCCCAAATAGTCAACCCTGGTTTGAGACTCAGACCCAGTGTCTTAAAACTCAACGGGTGCATCTGTGTGTGTGCCCAAAATCCTGAGAGGAGGCTAGAGGAGAAGGGATGACAGCATGGCCATCCCCAGTAGCTGATCCTTTTTGGTGAGTCTCCTAGTTGGAAAAATTAAACCCATTATGAGGTTGTTTTTATTTTTTATTTTTTATTTTTTTTTATTTTTTAAGGTTTTTGCCATAGGGCATGTACATTTGCTGGAGACAGAGAGAGGGAAAGTAAGAAATCACCCTCCAGGTGGATGGCCATACCACAGTCCCTTCTCCTCCATTTTCCTCTTGGGATTTTGGGCACACACATTCCCATGTCAGGTCTGATTTTCAAGCTGCTGAGTCCAGGACTCAAACTGTGGTCAGCCATGTGGGAGTCCAGTGCCTTAACCACTATGCCACCTGCTGCCCCTCCCCCCATTCTAAGTTCTACAGTGTGTACTATTACAAACACAGCCATATAAACATGACCATTTTCCTATTCCTTCATATAGCTTTCTTCTCTCAGACTGATCAAGTTAACAAGCTAGTTTGTGCAATTAGGATTTAACCTTGGTAGGTGACAGGTACTTAGACAGTAGAGACTGCCAAACTTTTCACCTACAAGACCAGATTGTAAATATTTTTTAGACTTTGCGGACTATGTGGTCTTTGTCACAATTATTCAACTCTGCCACTGTACCCTGAAAGTAGCCATAGATAGTATGCAAACAAGTGGGTATGATTGTGTTCCAATAAAACTTTATTTACAAAAATCTATACTGAGCCTATTTTGCCCATAGGCCATAGTTTGCTGTGGAGTAAACAGACTATTTCAAGCACACACACACATGCATGCCCAAAAACTTGTATGTCTTTTTTTTTTTTTTTGGAGAGGTTTTTGCTATAGGGTGCCTGAGCTTGCCAGAAAGACAGAGACAGAAAGCAAGAAATCACCCCCTTTAGGGGGGATGGCCACATTGAAATCCCATCTCCTCCATTCTCCTCTCGGGATCTTGGGCACGCACACACACACACCTGGCGTGAGTTTAAGCCACCGGGCCCAAGACTTGAACTGCGGTCGACTACATGGCAGTCCAGTGACATAGCCATTACGCCATTAGCTGGTCCCCAAAACTTGTACTTCTAAATAGACTTTATCCTTCCAAGAAATTATTGTATTCACCTCAATGTGTTTTGTTTTGGTTTAGTTTTTGTTTACAGTTTTGCTACCAGGCACATGTGGTTGCCAAAGAGAGACAGGTGTGGGAGGTGGAAGGAAGTGGGTAATAGTGAGAAATCACCCTACAGCAGGAGTGGCCACACCACAATTCCTTCTCCTCCAGTCTCTTCTTGGGACTCTGGGTTGTAAAAACATGCATCTGGGGTGTCCTTCAAACTGCTGGGTCCAAGATCCAAACTGTGTGGTTGGCCATGTGGGGTCCAGCTACCTTAGCCACCAAGCTACCAGCAGGCCCTTGCCCCAATGTTTTCATTGCTCAAAATGTTCTGAGACCCAAAGCTGCTTTCAAACTTGGATTCAAGTCACTTAAAATCAGTCATGTCAGGGCCGGCAGATGGTGTGGTGGTTAAGGTACTGGACTCCCACATGGCCGACCACAGTTCGAGTCCCAGATTGGGTGGCTTGCTTTCTCACTTTAGCTTTCTCTGTCTGGTTAAATTAAGATAATAATAACAACAACAACAACAAATAAAATAAAATAAATCTTAAAAAATAATAAAATCATGGGACCAGCAGCTAGTGTAATGGCTATGTCGCTGGACTCCCACGTAGTCGACCATGGTTCAAGTCCCGGACCCAGTGGCTTAAACTCACACCAGGCACGTGTGCGAGCATGCCCAAGATCCCAAGAGGAGAATGGAGGAGAAGGGATTGCAGCGTGGCCATGCCCCCTGGGGGTGATTTCTCACTTTGTATCTCTCTGTCTCTCTCTCTCTCTGTCTGGTGAGCACACACGCTCTATAGCAAAAATAAAAAAAAATAAAATAAAAAAAAATCAGTCGTATTACTTTGTAGAGAACATCATGTATAAAGCTTCCCAACAATAATAGCTTTTGACCAAGACTGAAAATACAGTAGGAAGAGAAATAAATCTAAAGACATATCAGAAAAATGAATATGTCAAGCTTTCACAGCTGAAACCAACACTTCTCTTGTTGGAGGAGACAGGAAGTTTTGGAAAGACAATCACTTACTTGCAGATCGTACAAGCAAAGCAGTTGGGGTGGTAGGTCTTGCCCAGAGCAGTCACTACCTCACCCTCCACGAACTCCCCACAGCCATGGCAGCGAGTCCCATACATCCTCTGGTAGTCCAGGGTGCAGAGGTACTCCCCGTTCTTTATGAAGAAGCCTCCTTGTGCCAGGTCGCAGCCGCACACTGCAGAGAGACAAGTTCACATCTGGTCATTATCTGCCAAGCTGCTGGGCAGCTGCTGCCTTCTACTAGATTCTGTGCACTCACTGTGATCGCAATGCTTTGGGGCTAGGGGAGGGGACTGGTACAAAGCTATTTATTGTTGAGCTCTGATTTCTCTCTTGACTCCCTCCCCTGGGGAGCTATGCAATATCTCATACAAGTAAAATCCACTGGCTAGCTCTCAATGGCTTTTGTGGTATGCCTAAATTCTAAGGTGATCAAACAGCCTTTGATGGAAAGATACTTTTGGTTCAGGCTGTCTCAAATATGCACAAAGGTGTCCCTGGCAGTGCTATTTACGAAAGGTGCCTACCGCTTGCCAACACAGCTGCTTGGTTTGGGCCAAAATTGTTACTGAGTTGAGTAATACATTCCCACTATACCAAAAGCAGTATGAAACTTTCCAATAGCTATTTTTTTCACACTCTGGAAATACTTTCACATAACTATGAAAAATTTAGATACTCAATTTTCTCTTTGTGCAGTAAATAAAATAAGCCAATTGTTTATATATTATTAAGAGAGAGAAAAACGCACAGGCAGAGGAAGGGAAAAGGAGATGTGTCCAAGATAAAACTCATTCATGACCTCAGTACATGGAAAAGAGGATGCTTTGTCTGGATTTTGGCTTTCAAAACCATGCAGCGGTGGATTACGGAGATGATACAAATAAACAGGTCCTAGGTGCCAGATCTGGAGCCTGGTTGACATGTTCAGGCAAGACCAGGGCAGGTCACACCAACTTGTCCACAAATAAAACCTAAAGCAGTTCCTGACTAAAGATTTTCCATTGTCAAATGACTGCAAGGCAACAGCCAAAGCTGGAAACGGCCAAGCTTTAACCTATTTTCAAGATCGGGTGCCTCCTATATAATTAAGAAACTTCAGCAAAGAATCTGGGATTCTGGATTACTCTTGCAGGTGGAGAGATGGTAAATTCAGTCCCTAAACTGCTTTCCTAAGGACCTACTAGGAAGGACACTTCCAGGGTTTTTATTACTTCCATGACTCACTAATTCAGCCTGGGAGCTCACGCTAAGCACAGTTAGATTCTTTTTGAAGAAACTATTCTCTCATCCTCAGTTGGCACGCTGAATTAATTGCAAGCTACTAAAGATATTCAAAGTGACCTAGAACCCACAAACAAGCCTTAAACTGTGGATTCATCACTCTTTGTTTAGATCAACACTCCACAGCTATGACCTTCTTTGCAATTTAAAATTAAGCAACCCAAGAGTGTGGCCTGAGTCCATCACGCCTGAAAATGACCACTCTATAAATACTACCGTGATCAGATCATCTGGAGGACAGCTCGCTCGCCACCTGCTGCTCCTTCTAACCTGCCAGTTCCTATACCTGCCTCTTCCTGACTGAGATGGACCCCGTGTGTGGTCTAGCCTCATGCTGCCTGCAAATTCATTAAGCAATTATAAATAATCCCAGTCAGTAAAGGGGTGGGTCACGAAACACTTTAGAGAGTTTTCTTTGGTGTTTTTCTATTACATATCTTATTTTCCTACACAATGACAATATACTTCATGGGTGATAGTCTTCATCTTTACTTCTTTTGATTCTTGTTCAAGAACCTAATGGCATCTTCTATAATACAGGGAATACAATTTTTGATTTAAATGGAATCCTGCCTCAAACTTGCTCAGCTTCCATCGATTTAATTTCTCGGTGACATCAGCAGTTCTGATGACTCTACTACAATCCCAAGAAGGGACAATACAATGCGGTTGGATTACTAGTGATTCCCTTTATTCCCTTCTCTAAGGATCTTGGCTGAGTGTAAAAACGCATAGTTTTGCTACTGTCTCAAGTGTTGAGACATCATGCATAAAGTTTCCCATCTAAATTAGTTTGTTAAAGACTGAAAATACAGTAGGAAGAGAAAGAAATCTAAAGATATACCAGCAAAGGGAACCAGCAGTTAGCGTAATGGCTATGTCGCTGGACTCCCACGTAGTCGACCGCGGTTCGTGTCCCGGACCCGGTGGCTTAAAACTCACGCCGGGTGCGTGTGCGTGCGTGCCCAAGATCCCGAGAGGAGAATGGAGGAGAAGGGATTGCGGCGTGACCATCCCCCCTGGTGGGTGATTTCTCGCTTTCTGTCTCTATGTCTCTCTCTGTCTGTCTGGCGAGCACACGCGCCCTACAGTGAAAATCTCTAAAAAAAAAAAAAAAAAAAAAAAAAAAAAAAAAAGATATACCAGCAAAGTGAATATCCCAAGCTTTCACATCTGAAACCTCAGCTGTTGAGGCAGTCTCATTTACTGTTTTAGAAATTCTTTGTATTATTTACTGCTTCCCTATGCTACTTCTATGCAGCTTTTTCTAGCTCACCTGCTTTTGTGAAACTGAAGATACTATCCTTTATTAATAAAGGCCTAGTTTATATAAACCCTGCATAGCCTTTAAAAATGACTTCTTACAAGTATTAAGAGATGTTAGAAGACAATTAAATTGCTGTGATTTGATTTGGGTTTTTCCTTAAATTCAAAGCAGTGCTAAAGTGAGTTTACCAAACCATACCATTATTTCAGGTGCTTTATTAAAGACATTAATGATTGAAGAGAGAGACTCATACGGTCAGGAGCCCTTAAAAAGTATATACAACAGGCATTGAGAAGAAAAATCCACACTACTAATATTTAAAAGGAACTTAACATGATTACATTTCCTAAGAGTGGACTAGTTGTAACCTAATCTCAGAATCTTTCCTCTTTTGTCTTCCTGGTTCCTCTGATCACTCCTTCTCAGTCTCCTGGCCAGACTCCTAAATGCAGGTAATTTCCATGGACACAATCTCCTTCCTGTATAACATAAGGTCTCCTTGGGACAGGGCTCACCCACTCTCATAGCTTCAACTATGACTTTGTGCAGAGGATTCTCAAATCCATTATCTCTGTCTATGATGTCTTCTGCAAACTTTAGACCCTCATTTAGAGCTGGCACAGACAGATAGACAGCATACCTGTCTCAAACACAGCATTTTCAAAATAGATCCTATTCTCTCAGCTTCTCCGCCATTTCCCCCAAAACCTTCTGCTATTTGTCTGTTCTCTTTCTCAACCAAATGGCAGCAACAGCTATTCTTCCACTCTTACACCAATATTTTCAACTGGCTACTAAACCCAATTCAGTTCCCCAACAAAAAGTTCCTTTGATTCATTCCCTCTGGCTTCCTACTGTCATAGCTTAGATCCTGGCCTTCAACATCACTCTCCTGTACAGAAAAACACTGTGATAACAGTGTTTGTGCTGGAGGTGTGGGGGGACGAACAAGCCCTGGAATTCCCATCAGTAGATCAATTATTGAATAAATTATGATAAGCTAGTCTATGGAGCTGGTATTAAAGGGAATGGACTAGATCGAAATGTACAACACAGAAGGTTGTCTGTGATATACTATTAGGTGATTAGGTGAAAAGAACAAATGTCATAAAGAATTTTAATAACCTTATATTTAGAAAAGCCTACTTTTTAAAAGTTGTTGGTTTTTTTTCTTTTTCTTTTTTTCCCATAGGGCACATGCACCACTGGAGAGACAGAGAGAAACAGTGAGAGAGAAAGTGGGAAATCACCCCCAGGGGAGATGACCACACTGCAATACCTTCTCCTCCATTCTCCTCTAGGGATTTTGGGCACGCAAACACACACGTCCGTCATAATTTTCAAGCTGCCAAGTCCAGGACTCCAATTGACAAAGGTGTTATTCTTTTTAACCAAAAATATCTCAAGATGAACAGTTTAATGCAATTTTAAAGTGCTTTGGTTTGTTTTTTTTTATTAACAGCTTAACAAATACTTTTAATTGATGGCATAAAGCAAAACTTTCACATCTAAATGATCACAAAATCTCAATTAGTAAGATTATACTTCAGTAGAGTATATTTATATTTTTAACACTGAATTCTCCATTTGTATTTACTTTAGTTGTCAGTTAACATAACACCTAGGGAAAAGCAGAGATTCTTTTCATAAACAAACAAACAAACAAAACAAAAAAAAACAAACAAAAAAAACCAGGGCTGCCAATGGAGGAGATAAATTGCTTGATTAGTTATTTAAAAACATCTCCCACTCAAAGCCCCAGTGAATCCTGCCTTGCTTTGCCATCACTAATGCCTTGCTAGAAATAGCCCCACATCTTGTTGATGTCATGCTCTTGAACTCGTTCTCTACAAACCACTGAATACAATTAAGTACTACTTAAGTAAGAAAATTACATCCAAGAAATTGTATATAAATATTGTGAAATTAGTAATAGGCACATTTTAAGATTTTAAATAAAAAAATTAACAGGAGCTTCCTAAGCTGTAAAAATTCCATGGGACAGGATGGGAACAAGGACAGAGACATCAAAGGGGCAAACACAGAACAGTATTTTAATGGTGTGAGCAAGAATGCAGCAGCAACTATTTTTCTCTTTTTTTTTTTTTTTTTGGAGAGGTTTTTACTATAGGGGGGGTGGGTTCGCCCGACAGGGAATAGACAGAAAGCGAGAAATCACCTCCCACGGTGGATGGCTACGTTGCAATCCCTTCTCCTCCATTCTCCTCTTGGACTCTTGTGCACACACGCACACGCACCTGGCGTGAGTTTGAAGCCACCGGGTCTGGGACTCGAACCGCGGTCAACTATGTGGGAGTTCAGTGACATAGCCATTATGCTAACTGCTGGTCCCAACAGCAACTATTTCTTTAACCTCGTAGAAACAGCAGTTATAGTTTATGTTCCAACAAATTCATTGTATTTTTAAAAAAGACTTCTGCCATAAGATGTGTGTGCTTGACAGAAGGAGACAGAGGCAGAGACAGAGAGAGTGAAAGTGAGAAATCATCCGCTGGGGGGATAGCCATGGGGTAATCCTTTCTCCTTCATTCTCCTCCTGGGACGTTTGGGCACGCATGCACACATGCCCAGTGTGATTTTCAAGCCACTAGGTCCGGGACTTG